CGCCCTTTTTTAATTTATTTTTGTTTTTAAAAAATTTTTAATGGAAGGTTCACAACAGCCTTTCAACACACAGCCTTTGGTAGGCACTACACAGCCTTTTTCAGGCAAAAACTACAAAACAGCTTTGATAACTGTTGAACAAAACATTTTAGATAAAAATTACAAGACAACTCTGATAGCTGTTGAACAAATTATAAATTTCCCTTTAGCGGGATACAAAAAGTCTATACTAGACAGTATAGATACTTTTCTAGAAGAGATTTCTAGAAAACTAAAAAGATTGATAAAACTATGTGGCGATATAGAGTATATGGGATACTTTAAGTCACGTAGAAAAAATCCTTGGGGTTATTTAGCTAACCCAATTGCGGATAGAGACTACCAACAAGCTTTAGATACCTTGGTAGTAGAACATAGAGAACTACAAGATTGGTTCTCAAAAACACTATCAAACCTAGACCTAGAACATGATAGGTAAGTGGAAAATAGGTATAGTATTTCTACTATCCCTAAAGACGAAAACAATCCTATGGTAGGATGTGAAAAATGTTTAATAGATAATGAATCTTTTGATGATATTATAAACGAATTTTTAGATGAATTTTATCCAGATGAAGATGATATATTGGATAATTTATCTGAAGTCTCAGAACCCTTAGATACCCTAGGGTCTGAAAACATGAGTATTGAATCAGATGATTCTCAATCTCATAACTACCAGTTAGAATCTGATGATAATTCTATAAAATCACTACAAAATATTAGTTCTGATAACAATCAAAACCCTACACTAGACAATATGCCTTGTACAGAGCTGAGTCTACAAAACCCTAAACTTTTTCTAAACTTAGGAGAAACATTAGACTATTTAGATAATGGTTTAATGAACATAAAAGAGAAAAAATACATGTTGTCATAACATTCAATTTTTATAAGATATTTATTAAAACAGTTCTTTGTATAACAAAATAGTTATAAAAATTGTTGAGAAAAAACAATGAAATTAATCGTACTTTCTACCCCACTTAATGAAATTATTGATGAAAGTATTTTATATGTTGAAAAGTAAGCGTTGAAAAATAAGCATTCAACTGAGATTTGTATAAAAATTTTATATCTTTAACCGTATGTTTGTTTCCAACCAAGGAGATGCAAGAAATGTGGTGATTTTACCTATTTCAACGTAAAAAAGTCGCAGAGAAGAAACAAAAAACGGCAAAAGAGCAAATATGATTTTTTTGTTTTACGTAATCGATTATGTTCGTGTAATCGATTTTTTTTTTTAACATAATCAATTGTGTATTATGTTAAAAAAATTAATAATATATATTTATTTTCTTGTTATAATAATAAATAATTAAAAAAATATAATAATAATAAAATTTTATTAATAATAAATAAATTAATTTAACTTTGGACTCATTTTTATTTATTTCTTTTAATTCAAATAACCATAGTTTCTATCCTCTTTCTCACGTTTTCCCTCTTTCAAATCCATTCTTCAATCCAAATAAAAAGAAGTTGTAAAAATTCTACAAATAATGATTTGGTAAAGAACATGAAATCTGAAAATTTTAACTGTAAAAATAAACTGCCCAGTTCAACTACTCTGACTTGAATAGTAAACAAATTTGATAGTATAATCTAATCTGTATTTTTTTAAATTAATGGTTCAATCGTGTTTATATTTTAAAATGGCAAAAAATTTTAGTATAATATGATCATATGTTAAACCACTGAATTAACGAATCAATTTTGACACGATTGATTTAAAAGAAAAATATTATTATATCTATTTCAAATCAATTAATTAAAAATATTTAAATAAAAATTATTTTAAAATATTAAATTTTTTTAATAAGGTTAATTTTTATTTAAGATATAATAATTTAATATATAAATTATAAAAAAATATATCCATCCAATTTTAAAATTAAAAATTTACTTTTTATTATCATTATTTTTTTTAAGTAATTTATTAACTTAAAATAATAATTAATCTTAATTATTAAATCTTGAAATAAATAATTATTATAAATTTTTTATATATTTATTTTTAAAAATAAGTAAATTCTTTCTCAACTTTAATAAATATATATATATATATATATATATATATATATATTAATAAAATAATATTATTATTTTTTATTTAGAAATAATTATTATTTTATAAAATAGGTTGATTCATAAATCTATAATAAATTTTTTAATTTATAATGACTTATTTCTCGTACCCACCTTAACTTTATTATGACACCTATACTAAAAATTAGAATTAAGATTTTTTTATCTTTTTATTTTTTATAAAAATGAATATTTTTTATAATAATAATAATAATAATAATAATAATAAAAAAGGTAAATAAGTTTTTGGGAATAAATAAAGCCATTGACTATTGAATTTTAGGACCAATGCAATACCATAATTAAAGCCCAATGACCCACATTGAGCCTAAAATGAGGCCCAACGCCTATAACAACTATCGGAGCGCCGCGGCACAAAATTAGGGTTTACCGTTCCATTTAGCCATCTATAAAACCGAAGCACCATGCATCTTAGTAGCATCTTATTTCTGCTCCGTCTTCAAAATTGGGTTAGGGTTTTTCTGTTTTATTTGAATTTTGTATCAATCTTTTGATTCTCTCGGTTATTTCATTTTAGTATTTGCAAGTTTCTGTTGAACATGAAAGCCAATTTGCAGAGCAAGTGCGTGTATTATGTGTAATTGGCGCAACTTGCATTGAAGGTTGGCGAAAACAATTGCAATTCTCCGTGCCTATCAGATTCACTTTGTTTTGATCATGGCCTCGAACAAGTTGCTACATTTTCCTGTTCTTTTTTTTTTTTCGTTTGATTTTTGTTACTGATTGCAGTTTTTTCTTTTCTTATATATATTATTAATGGATTAAAACCTAACTGCCTTTCGTGTTTTTTTTTTTTTAATGAATGAAACCCATAGCCTATATACCATGATTCAAATTACATTATTTTAGATGAAATTTAGAAAAGTGAATTATGATTATTTTGGAATCTAAACGTTGGGTTTAGATTAGAGGGGAAAATATAGTCATCTATAAAGCATATTGGTCTTTTTATACCAAGATTGTGTCGGAAGATGACTAAATTCATTTTGTTGTCCTCCATACCGTTAAAAACTCGTGAAACTTGTGTTCATGCAGTAATATAATTGAGGATACATTTGTGAGTAAGAATATAATTAATTTAACGAAGATTATGAGTAATAAGTTTGGTTAAATTCTTGAAATTTCTTGTAATTTTACCCTATTTGATTTTCATGATAATTTAAAGATATTGAATACATTCTTCAACCTGTATCACTCTAATTGCTTATTAAAGAAAATAAGACAATTGAAAGAAAACTTGAAAAACTTTCAAGTAGCCAATCGTAAACAAGTGAGACAATTAGAAGATCTTTTTAATGAGACAATTAGATAAAACTTGGAAAATAACTTCTTAAACAAATGTGACAATTGGGAAAGAATTTATTAATCATGTCAGACAATTTGAAAGCTTCAAAATATACATACAGAAAATGATATCCAATTAGAGTTGAAGAATTAATCAGACCCAGGAGAATCCAATTATAATTGAAAAATTGTAAAACTGCATGATAGATATATTCTGATAAAAAATGTACACGAAGTGATGAAAATGTGCAGTAATCCTAACAAGTGCCCCACCCTTATTTAAGGAAAAGACCTTGCTGCACCCATAGGGATGTTATTCTCATCATCAGATGCCATTTTTTGAATTACTTAGTTCACAAACTCAAACGAGGGGTTAGAACTCAGAATAAAGATTAGTATAATAATGCAATAAGTGATCCTCAATATGAGTAGCATCAGTAGTTAAGGTATTATTAACTTTAAAACTAGTAATGTTGCTAAACGTAGCTCTACACTTAGCTATCATGTGAAAGAATTTAGTCTTTCTTTCGCCTAGCTTAAACCAGTTCATTCTGGCTTTATCTCTTTAAAATATTTTCTCACACTTCATAGATTCATTGAACTCATTTTGTGCTTTGCATTCCTCATAAATCAATGTAGGGTTAGGGCCATTCAAGCTAATCTGGAGTTGGAGGTCATCAAGATGTTTCTGTTTCTCAATGACTCTATATTTAAAAAAATAGTTTCATTCCACAATTTAAGTTTTTGTTTAAGTGCCTTGAGCTTCTGCATGAGTATGGACATGGGGTAGCAAAAGAAAAAAAAAATAGTAGTCCAAACCTTGTTAATTACCTCTTTGCAACTCGGTGGTTCGGACCACATAGTAAGAAACTTAAAAGATGCATGAAACTGTCTATTGTCCTTTAAACTAACCAGGATAGGTGCATGGTCAGAGTTGCACCTGGACAGTATTCTACAAACAATGTTATTCAAGTCAGCTAAACAATGATGATTTGAAAGAGCCCTATCCAATTTCATATGAATATGTTGAGAACCTTGCCTTTAGTAGTCAAAGTAAACTCAGCACCAATGGAGGGAATGCCAAAAAGTTGTGCAACATCCAACCATGTATGAAACTTAGTGCTACAAATTGACAACGGTTGATTTTCTTCTCTTTAATACAACATTAAATTCACGTAATACTAACCAATTATTAATACTTACCATCTGTGCAGGAATGGAAGACCAGAGCTGCCTTCTCTCAACGTAAGAAGTAGAACCATATACACCAATTACATTATTTTCCTTTTGGTTATGTTTACTTTTGACAACAATCATTTGACTAGTGCTTATGAAGATTAAAATCAACCCCATCACGAAAAATACACCAAAGATTAGTTATTTTACCATCTCTTTTGTTTGTAGCACATAATGTATAACCAAATTATCTCCCAACATTAACAGGAATTTTATTAATATCAGTCATACCAGCACAGGTTTGTGGATCTTGCAAATCTGTATGAATTTTTTTTTTGTCCTTTCATTGGCAATTCCTCGAGCATTCCAATATAAGATTGTAAAATTCATAATCAATTGGTTGGTTTCTTCTTAGAGGGTCGACCCCTCTTTTTGTGGGGCAAAATATGAAATGGTTCATCCTCCATAGTAGTAACAACATCATGATCATATTCATTAACTTCAGTTTCCACACAATCCGCCCAGAGTTTAGAAAGTTTTTTGGTGTCTTCCTTAAGTGCTTTACTAGGTTGTGTAATCCGTGTATCTCTTTGAGGCTGTATATCATGAAGTATTTTGAGTATGTTCAATAGGCACCAAATTGGATGATCCATTAAGTAGATCAGCAGAAAGCTCAACCTGTTCCAGATCGGACTCATAGGTTTCACAACTTCCTCTTGATTAGCTACCCGTTCCACCTGGATAGGTTCATCAAGATTTGCAACATGAACATTTTCCACAGTCTATTATGGAGATTTATCCTTGTTAGAAACAATTTCATTGACCGTAACAGGGTCAAGAGATATAACTTTGGCAATGTCTTTCTCTTGATGGTTCTCTACAATTTTTTTATAAATTGATAAATATTTTGATTGCAAGTTACGACAGTTGCAATCCAAAATTTAGTTATTAATTAATTTGTAGATTTTACTTGGCTTATGATTGTTAATTGGTTTTGTCTAACACATATAGTATTGTTCATGTATCTTGTATTCATAGTTCATATAAAACATTGTTCATGTATTGAGTTGGTTTAGTTGATATAGCGTTGTCATTCTTCTATTTTGCTTAATGGACGCAGTTGAATGCAAACAATTAACTTTACACAAACACTTTATTTTGTATCATGTCTTATGATGAGTGCATGATAAATGACGAAGAAAGAGACTTGGAGTTAGAATAAAAAATTGTGTATTTTTTATTCATACTTTGTATTTGTTTTCATGATTTTGCAATTACAAAAATTGTTTGGACCTTATACTAATTAGATGATTTATTATTGGACGAATGTAATTACTCGAATAGGAATAGAAATCTTAGATACATAATATAAATAGATTTTGGTTTCTAGACAATTTTAGAATAGAAAATTATGTTTTATAGAGGAAGAATCTATTACTAAGTTATTATAGATAATTTTAATTCTTATATTTAAATTTTGAAATGATGATTTTTTTTTCACTTATTAAGTTTTTCATTTATTAATTAGGTTCATCTGCAGTGTCCTTATTTTTATATTTTTTAATTTTCTTTTATTATTTGGTTGAATCTGTCCAAAATATCAGTTTATCTTAATTGGTGACTTTGATTATAAGAACTTGATTCGGACATTTTACATAACATTTGGAGAAACTTATGCACAGCATCGAATTCGATAGTGTAATTTTAGCGTAAATGTGCGACCCATGTTCTGTTTGGTGCAAATTCATTGATGCATAGTTTACAAGTAAAGGAGAATCCTGATCAGTACGCGAACAATCTCTGGATCAGAACCGGGTAGTTGTACAAAATATTATTATTTCTCCTAGTACAATTTATAAAATTTCTGTCCAACTAAAATACATCGATACTTCTAGTATCCTAAAAAAATCATTTATGATTAGAAATAAATTTTTTATATTTCTCTTCCTATATTCCTTAGTAATACTAAAAAAATTCGGATTATAAATCCAATTCTAAAAATTTATGTCTCATAATTTTAGAATTCAATTTCTCAAATTAAATTGGATTCTTATTGAATAGAAAGTATGATAGCATAAATAAAGAGTCTCTTTAAGTAAAAAATAATAAATTTTTGATGGGAACATTAATTGAAGCGGGGATTCCGGGTGTGGGCAATGAGGCCTTTATTATGTTAAGGACCATTATAATTGGCTTGAGATTTTTTTTCCATGAGTGGTTTTGAATTGAAAACGGAAGAACTTATGAATTAGGTGTGTTTATGAATCACATTGAGATAGTTATTTCCTATCTCTTGGACATTTTAAAAATAAACAATTTTCTAACTTAATTTTTAGAAAAAAATAAGATTATAATCACTTATATATATATATATATATATATATATATATATAGAGAGAGAGAGAGAGAGAGAGAGAGAGAGAGCCAATTTTAAAAGTCAAAAGAGTAAAATAAAATAAAATATTTTTATAAAATAATCAAATAAAAATCATAAATTATAAATTCATATTAAGTGTATATAAAATTTTAGGAAGATTGTGATCTCATAGGGCCTCCATGACTTTTCACTGTCTATGTATTATAATAGTAACACTTTTTTTTTTTTTCGAAAAGATATTTTATGTTCTAATATCTTTAGAATTAGATCATAAAAATATCTTAAAATATTTATATATGATTAAAATATTTATATTTGATCCACTAATATATCTAAAGTATGTTTTATATTTATAATGAATTTTACATTCTAAATATATTTTTTATTAAACCAAGAGTATGTTAGATTAATTTTAATTTGTGATTAAATTCAAAATAAGATATTTTAATTTAATGCTCAATTCATCGTTTGATTTGTTTAGAGGATGTGTTTATCTTAAGTGAGTTTCTTGAGATGTGTGTTTTTTTTCATTCTTTAATTTGTTAAGAAGAGGTATTCATCTCAAGTGGTATTCTTGAGAGGTGTGTTTTATCCTTTGATTTGTTTATAGGAGGTGTTCATTTCAAGTGAGATTCTTAAGAGGTGTGTTTTCATCCTTTGATTTGTGCATAGAAGGTGTTCATCTCAAGTGAGATTCTTGAGAGGTGTGTTTCTATTTCATCCTTTGTTCTAAAGAGGTATTTATCTTTTTAATTAGTTTATTATTTATTAGTTCTTATGGAAAGTTGATTGTAATTTGTAAACTGAATTTTAAAGATAGTAAATTAGGTTGTCTCTCTAGTATTAGAGGTGACAAAGAATTGGACGTAGGGTTGACTTGACCCGAATTAGTATAAATTACTGTGTATTTTTCTATTTCTCTATATCTCGCTGATTATTTTATCACTTCTACTTTACCTATATTCAATTTGATAATTAAAATTGAATTAACAAATTATCGGACATCTTAAATTTGTGCATCTATTCACCACACTCTAGATGTCATTTGTAAGGGTATCTCCAAAGAGAGTTTTTAACTAGAATTGCTTAAGAATAAAATTGAATATTTTATTATGGGTCATACAATACAATTGAGTTACTTAAAACATGATTAGAATTATTTATCCAAGCAACTTTATTCTTATTTTAAACAACTTTCTCCACTTTTAAACAACACAGATGTAGAACCCACAATAAAATATTCTCTTTTATTTCTAAGCAACTCTTGGTAGCAACTCCCATTGAAGGTACTCTTACAAGTAAACATATTGTATAAATACTTGGTTCATGGGAGATAAAATAAGTTAATTAGTCTGAGACTATATCATATGGATAACTTCATTCACTATAATCAAAATAATTACATATTTCCTCTATTAAAAAGTGGACTTATGGCTTAACGTATCAACCCGTCAAATTTTTTATATATAAAAAATATTTATATATTTTTAAAAACATACTCTTAATTATATAAATATTTTATAATTTTTTACTCATTAATTAACATATTTTATTAGGTAAATTAAAAAATTATATAAATATTTTTACTTAATTATAAATATTTTAAATTACAATATTTTAATTTTATTTTAATATGTAATTTAAAAAAAAAAACCAACATTAGACACAACGAGTTAAAACTACAAAATGGAATCACCAATTTTAAACGGCTTGATGAATTTGCTCATCTAATATAACCCGCTTTTTTCATTCTTAACTTAGTTTAATCCTTAAATATTATGAAAATTTAATTTACTCCAAAATTTAAATGAATCAAAATAAAATTTTTAAAAATAATTTTTATATTTCACATTATTTTTAATTTAAGTTGGTTTCTGAAAAATATTATTAAAATAAAACTTAATTTCTATATTTTATTATTAAAAATATAATTTATTCCATTATAAGAATTAAATTATACTTTAATAAATATGAAATTTATTTTAAAAAATGAATGCAAAAATAAAAATAATTTTGAAAAATATTTTATTGAGTTATTAACATTAGAAAAGTAATATAACAAAATACAAAAATTCGCTGAACCAAATTTTTCCATGATGTATTCGGTGGTTTTGAATTACAAATATATGGGAGAAGAAGTTCGATCCACTTGAATTAATGTCTCCAATTTTATTTTTTCTTTTTTTATAAAAGAGAAAGAAAATTAAATTAATTGGTGAATTAATTGAACTTGCTTTGTTCCTTGCATTGAATAGTTGATGTTTGTTGCATTGGGGAAATATGTAAGTAGGAGCAAATTCTGAAAAATTGGGTGCAATTCATTATGAATCACTAATTATCTTATGATTCAAAGTTTTTCTTAAAAATTAAAGAGGAATTTAAGTAAAAAAGTTACATATTATAACCTTTTAAAAGTGATGTGCGAAGTGTAAATACATAGTAAAATTTACATTAATATTTTTTATCAATAACCATTTTTTTTTGTTAACTTGCTTTTCTTTTTATGCTAGTTTCTTATTTTTATAATCTCTATATATAGACATAATTTAACTATAGAAGAATTTATTCCACAACTTATACGAAAGTTAGAAAGAGAAATACGTGATAAAAAAGACTATAAGATTCAAATCATAAGTATAAAATATATAAAGTTCAAATATCAAAACTAGTTTTATTAGATGTTTCAAATGTGAAGAATAAGAACATATTTCTCATTAATATCCTGAAAAGTCAAGACCAATAAATAATCAAGATCTCAATAAATATTACGTATACTTGAGAAAATATAAGAAAAGAAAACATTACAAAAATTAAAAAAAGAAAATCAAATAGCTTAAAAAATTGAGTTTATACAGAATTGTTTTTAAAAGAAAATATTACAAAAAATAAAAAGATAAACAAATAGTTTAAAAAAATTGAGTTTAAAGAGAATATAAAAAAATTTAAAGAAACTTGTATTTATTTCTATATTTATGTAAATAGAAAAGTTTTTTTTATTGACATTAATTATTAGGTTAATTATATAAATTATTAAATGAGTTTAATTAGTTGAATGGGTCTAATTAATAATCTTAGGTTTAATATATACAAAGACTCGTTCAAAATATATATTTTTTTTGGGAAAATTCTGTAAGTTGTAGAGAATTGTGTTTCTTCATATTTTTATCTCATTCGCAATTATTTATTTATTTTATCGTTTGGTTGAATTTTTCTAGAAACAATCCATTTATCCTATTCTATGTTTAGATGTTGATGACTCTATTTTTTTAATTACTTGCATTTATGTGGTACTTTAAAAAGATGCAGAGCCTACGATAACACTAGCTTACTAGCTTAAATTTATATAAATGGTTAAATAAGACACTTTTTTAGATTAAAAATTATATCTTAGAAATATATCAGTGAATATGTTTAAATATTATAAATAACTAAACCTATTGACTTGCATGTTTATAAGATAATTTTATTATAATAAAGTGATCTTAAAAATGTTTATTTATCCATAATATATTATTTATCAATATCGTGTTTTTATAATTAAATATAGGACAAAATAGTCGAGTATTAAATATGTAATAGGATGTAGTAACTAGAAATTTTATAATTATTAACGTTCCATGTTAATTAGTGGTAATAATGGAAAACAACTTGTATTATATCAACTTTTAATTTTATTGTCGTTAATGAAATAAAAAATTTTAAATTTATCAAAAGATTTTGTAATATAGAGGGAAAAGTTAAGTTATTCTTTTAAATAACACAATAAAATATATTCAATCTTTATATTATTTTTTCCTTGTAGAAGTTAAATTGAAAGTTTAAAGATGTAAAACAAAAAAGAAATTAAAATGATAGAAACTAAAATGAAAAAGCTAAAGATAGATCAATATTAAATCAATAAACAATCATCTTATCATAGTTCTTTAAATATTTCAATCCAAATCTGAACAATTAATGATTCTATTAATCAACTAAATTGATTATACAGATTAAATATTATTATTATTCAATCTAATTTGTATATAATTATCAAATCAAGATTTAATTTATTATTCATTTAATTTTTAAAAACAGAATTACAAATTGATATCACAATATGAAAAATCAAAATTAAAGAAGAGAAGAACAAACTAAGAACGAGAACCGATTAGTGTAAAACTTAATTCGACTTGTTTCATTTTGATTGCATGAATTAATCCTTCAATGGATAAAAAACTTAAGAGTAGTTCGGACCAAATAAGAACAAGATAGGAAGAGTAAAAAACACAAATAAGAGAGAAAAGAGAAGATGCAAGGACATTTTCTAAACGGAAAAACTAAATAAATGATTTCTAAATATGAGTTTAAAACACTTTTAGTTTATTTGAAGGTTCTTGAATCTAAAGTAAACACGAGTCTAAACAGAGATGGATCTTCTTAGGAGCTGAGGGGGTCGTGACCCCTCCCCCAAGTTTTGTAACTTCCATGTAATTTATGATTTTGGTCCTCCCCAACTTAATGAACATTTAATATATTTACTTGTATATTTACAATTTTATCCTCTCAGCCCCTCCTCAGTTTTGTAACTCGTATATAATTTATGATTTTGTCTCCCTCAAACTTAATAATCATTTAATATATTTAAGTATATATCTACAATTTTATCCTTTCATCTTCTTTCTTCCTTTTATATTTATTTATTATTTATTGATAATATATTATTTCGCCCCCTCAAGATTAATGGTCAAGATCCGCCATTGAGTCTAAATGTGGGCTCTAACTAGGTTCATAAGTCCAATTACAAAAATTAAATTAATAAAAAGTAAAATCAAATCCGCATGGGTTATTTACAAAATTTCAACAAATATGTCTCAACTTTGAAAAATCGTAGAAAATAACACAACTTGAAATCCAGTGGACCATACATCCATTTGATAGATCTAAAAATGTAAAATCCAATGAAACTTGAATCAACCAAAAATAATATTTAAAAAAAAAGAATGGCTAAAAAGTGAGAAGATGTCAAATTAGTTAAAAATACAAAATTAAAACAAACATGTACATTGAACCTAATTTTTTACTATAAAATGAAAATGACTTAAAAATTAAAGATAAAGTATATAAAAAGTATATTCACTATACAATAAAGTTATAAATGTACCTACAAAATATGTGCTATCAAACACTAAAAGCTAATATATGGATACAAGAAGAAGAAGATGATGTTTGGAACTTCATCAACTCGACGGAAATTTGATGAATTTAATAGATATAGTTTCCATTAGAAATGAATAAAGAAACTAGGATTTTATGAGTTTATATATATGATCTAATTAAAAGTAATTATAATTTAAATCTAATTCAAAACAGGAAAAACAATTAGCAAAAATATTAAAGTTTATTAAAAATAATGATTAATTATCTAATCTTATTTTTGTCTTATTAATTATCATTGATTTATGGATCTAAATATAACCATAAGATAGATTCAATATTAATCATTCATGTATAAATTAATTAGTTAGATCTAATTGATTCACCGTATTCAATTGATCTAGAGGCACAAATAAACTCTAATAGAAGTCATCACCTAAACCTAAATTTGATTTATGATGTAATTGATTAAATTCAAAATTTATCTCAATCATATTGATTATAATGAATTATAAACCATTCAAACCATTAAAGTAATAAAATCTCAATCAATAACTCAAAAGTTTAGATTAAAAAATTAATGGAGAAAACTAGAAAGTCTTTAAAATAAAATAGAAAGCAATAAGGATAGTAAATTGCAAGAATCAAAAGTAAATAGTAAAGAAAAGAAGATTGATGACACATATTTTAGGCACACATTCAAAGTTTTATTGTATAGTAAATGCACTTTTCATATGCTTTATTACAAAACATTATTTTTTCCTGATTCAAGTTGCATTGGATTTTACATTTATAGGACTATGAAATGGATATATTATTTGATGGATTTGGAGTTCTATGCTATTTTCTACTATCTTTAGAAATTGAGGCAAATTTGCTAAAATTTTGTAATGAACCCATGTAAATTTGATTTTCATTTATATTAACTTATTTTTGTAATTGAGCTTATGGACCTAATTAGAATACACATTTAAGTCATGTTTACTTCAGATTTCAAATCCTTTATATAGACTATAAGGGCTATAAACTCATCTCAAGAAATCATTTGTTTAGTTTTTCAGTTTAGGAAGTGTTTTTACATCTGTTTTTTTTTTCTTCTCTATTTTTGTTTTTTACTCTTCCCATTCTTCTCCTTTTCTGGTCCGAATTGGTTCAAAGTTTTTCTTCCATGGAGAACTAAATTTTGAGGATTAATTCACATAATCAAGATCAAACAAGCCGAATTAAGTTTTGCATCAACCGTTTCTCACTTCAAGTTTATTCTTCTCATCTCTAATCTCAGTTTTGTATCTTGAGATTTCAATTTGTAATGTTATTTTTAGAATTAAAATTAGGAATCAATTGAATCTTGATTTGGTAATTACATACGAATTAGATTGAATGATATTGAGATTTAATTCGTATAATCGGTTTAATTATATCGATTAGTTATTCAAAATTGGATTGAAATCTTAGAGAATTATGATAAGAGGATTGTTTGATTGAGAATTTGAGGATTGATCTATCTTTTTTATTTTATTTTAGATTTTGTTTCTTTGTTTTGAATTTTTCTTTATAATTATTGTTTCACATTTTCAAACCCCTAAATTTAAATTTTACGAAAAGAT